CGAAGGAGGACCACAGGAGCCTCAAGTTGGCCCTGGCCTGTCAGAGACACTAGGACTCTAGTGCCATCTGGATGCGGGTGATTTGGTCTTTTTGCCTTGGGGAAGTTTGGATGCAGAGGCACAGGTGAAAAAGGAAGCTCAGGGGTTGGCCCTGAGGACAGGCCCATAAACCTGGGCCTGAGAGGAGCCTCAGGGAACCTAGTCTGTCTGTTAAGGCAGGAGCCTTAGGGGAGCCTTGTCTGTCAGGACTCTCAGAGACACGTGTGTTGGCAGTGCAACTCATCCCTAGAAACGGTAGGACACTTATGGGGAGCCTTGGCCTCAGATGCACCTTTGAGTTTGTTTCTTTGGATTGGAATTGTGTGTGGTGTTTGTTTGAGGGACCTCCAAGATAAGGCCACTGGACAGGAGCCTTAGGAAACCTGGCCTAAGGCAGGAGCCTCAGGTGAGCCTGCCCTGTCAGCTTTAGTCTTTTGGCTATTTGGGAAGAGGCACAGGTGAAAAGGGGTAGTCTGTAAACCTGGAAGACCTGGCCTGCCTGTTAAGGCAGGAGCCTTAGGGGAGCCTCAGATGCACACTTTAGATTTTTATATTTGTTTATAGTAACCATTGTTTCTTGGGAATTAGTGATGTGTCTATTTTTGTTCATCAAATCATGAGAACTCGACTAAGTCTTTAACACCTTTACATACTTCTAATACACCTCTAAATTCTTCTAATACTGAAGAAATTTACAGACAGCTTCTCAGATGACTGTGGAAGTCAAGAGTCCAATAACTGACTCCAAGTCCTCTGTGAAGTTCAGTGGCCAAACTTTAATGAAGGGTGGCCATCAACAGGCTCCCTAGACCTAGCTTTGGTGACCGCAGTACACCAGGTGGTCATGGGAAAACCAGGTCATGCAGACTAATTCCCCTATATAGACCATAGTTCATGGTTGATTTGGGTCCATAATCCCCCTCCCTGGTTGTGAGTATATTCTGTGGAATCTCATTCTGCAGTCCTTCTCACCTGTCCCTGACCCCACTAGTCCTTGCCCCATCAGGGAAAAAGGATTTGCTGCCTCCTTACAATGTAGGAAGGCTATCCTCTCCCACAGTCTCCTCCAGAGGAGAAACTCCCTCAGCACTCCCGCTGGAGCCTTCTGCTCCCCAGCTCTCACCCCTGGCATCTCACCTCTGGATCTTCCCCCTTCGGGAGGCAGCTCCCAGAAAGGGAGCAGGAAGAGGCATTTGCTCCTTTCTTGTCTATGTTGTTTTTCAACAGGGTTCAAACCAAAGCAAGAAAAGCCTTCTTGGCCAGTTTTGGGGATACTGGGGAAGAAGGGCAAAAGGAGTTTAACAGTTTTTCTGGTGGAACAGCCGGGTTGGGACCCTAATACCTTAGCAGGATCCCAGGCTCTAGAAGCTTTTTATCTGTCTCTTTTAATTGGCCTATGGGTAGCAGCCCCAAAACCTATAAATTTATCAAAAACAACTGAGGTAGTCCAGGGCCCAGAGGAGTTGCCCAGGGCATATTTCAAGTGACTCAGAAAGTCCTTCCAAATCTAAACCCTGTTTGCCCCTTTGGCTCCAGAAAATGCCAGGACAGTGAACTTAGCCTTTGTCTCTCAGTCAGCCTAGATATCACGAAGAAATTACAGAAGCTGGAAGGACTTGCTAGGATGAATATTTCCCAGCTGCTAGAAATTGCCCCAAAAGTTTCTGACAACAGAGAAGTTGAAAAGCCAAAGTATAAAACTGCTGAGGCAGAAAAAACTGCACACAGACAAGCTAAGATTATGTGGCAGCATTGCAAGCAGGATAAGGAACTAAGTTCGAGTCAGAGACAGGAGAAAACCAGCAACTTCCTTGCCCAAGTTGACTGAAGCTAGAAAGAGACCAGTGTGCCTACTGCAAATAGAGGCCTTTGGAGAAGTGGATGCCCGAAACTTGGTGCTGGCAGTAAGCCCAAATGGAAGATCTCGACACTGCCTACTGAAAGAAGCAACGACTCGGATTGAAGGGGTCGTGGCTCTCTCCCATTTGGCCCCTGAGAGCCCATGGTGCAAGCCAAAATGGGGGTCCCCCTGGTGGACGCAGGGGTGGAGTGGTCTGTTTTACAGGAGTGGATGGGAGCTTTACCTGATGAGAACATCCCTATCCAAGGAGCCACTGGGACCACCCAGCTGTGTCCAATCAACTTGACATTGAAGACAGGTGGCCCATATGTTCCTGGTAGTCCCAGATTGCCCTAAACCCCTCACTGGCAGAGACCTGCTCCAGAAACTCCAGGCCACTATTTCATTCTCCCAGAGGGAAGTGAAATAGTATTAGACCCAGGCCCCACTCCAATGCCTGAGTCCCCTGTCTACCAGTTACATTTGTCTTATCCACTCCTTTATCAGAAGAGTACCTTCTCCTAAATACTGATGGAAACATGGCCAAAGCAGAAACCATAGCCCCCACTCTATTAGCCCAGCTACAAGCAGACTTTTCTTGAGTATGGGCAGAATCCAACCCCCCCGACTGGCTGCCTGTCATCCTACAACAAAACGGCCAGTCTGGGAATTCCTGGGGGTGTCGGGTTACTGCTGTTTATTAATCTGGGGTTTTGCTGAAATCACAAAGCCCTTGTATGTCGCCATTGCTGGTGATGGGTCCCTGCTGTGGACAGACCAAGAGGATCAGGCATTTAAAGCTCTAAAGCAGGCCCTTGTAACTGCCCCAGCCTTGGCTTTACCGGACATCAATAAGCTGTTCCACCTATTTGTTCATGAAACCAGAGGCATTGCAAAAGGAGCGTTAATGCAGACTCTCAGATCATGGAAATGGCCAGTGGCTTATCTAAGTGCCTTGAGCCAGTAGTTGCTGGGTGGCCAGGCTGCTTATGAACCATCGCAGCCCCAGCCCTGCTGATGTGGGAGGTGGACAGATTGACTCTGGGACAGGACTTGATTTTTGACAGCCCCTCATGCAGTAGACACCCTCCTTCAAGGGCTATAGGTCACTGGATGTCAAATGCTTGACTCACCCAATGCCAGAGACTACTGCTTTATCAGCCATGACTGAGTTCACCCAGTTGAAATAATCGAATGAGATTATTTCTAGATATGGGCTACCTCTTTCAATTAGCTCAGATAATGGGCTAGCTTTCATTTCTACTTTGACCCAAGCAATTAGTAATGCCCTAGGTAGACAGTGGAACTTCCATTTTGCCTACCAGCCTCAAAGCTTGGGATAAGTAGAAAGAATGAACCAGACCCTAAAAGAGACTTTAATCAAACTCATTAATGAGACCAGTGGAAAGTAGACAGAGCTCCTGCCCTTAGTAACTCTCAGAGCAAGG